TGGAGCAGAAGACAAGTTATATTTTGGAAAAGATGACAAAAAACAAACAATGCCTTGTTTCGAATCTTCTGGTGATGAGCATGTGCTAAAATCACCCTCTCTTTCAAAATCAATTATTGCAAAAGATTTAGAAGCTAAGGACTTTGATAAATCATTAGTTGGAGCAGAAGACAAGTTATATTTTGGAAAAAATGACAAAAAACAAATATTGCCTTGTTTCGAATCTTCTGTTGATGAGCATGTGCTAAAATCGACCTCTCTTTCGAAATCAATTATTGCAAAAGATTTAGAAGCTAAGGACTTTGATAAATCATTAGTTAAAGCAGAAGACAAGTTATATATTGGAAAAGATGACAAAAATCAAATAATGCCTTGTTTCGAATCTTCTGTTAATGAGCATCTATTAAAATCGTCCTCTGTTTCGAAATCAACTATTGCAAAAAATTTAGAAGCAATGGACTTTGATAAATCATTAGTTGAGGCAGGAGACAAGTTATATATTGGAAAAGATGAAAAAAATCAAATAATGCCTTGTTTCGAATCTTCTGTTAATAAGCATCTATTAAAATCGTCCTCTGTTTCGAAATCAACTATTGCAAGAGATTTAGAAGCTAAGGACTTTGATGATCCATCAGTTGAAGCAGAAGACAAGTTATCTATTGAAAAATATGACACAAAACAAATAATGCCTTGTTTCGAATATTCTGTTGATGACGATGTGAATAGTTGGAGGTCAAACCATGGGCAGGATCCAGAAAAGTCTGAAGAGTCGTTGGCTAAAAAAAAGTTTTCCTTTGAGGACTCTGAAAATGCAACTGCAGGAATTGAAAATAACTTCGAAGATTTGAAGAAAAGAATCTCTCGTCCAACCAATATTAAATTAAAATCGGAAGATACTACTGAGTGCATAAAGTATATCTTCGAAAAATTGGGTTATCCATTTGAAAATACATTCAGACTAGAAGATTCTTCTTCTGGTAATCAAAAGTTATCAAAAAAAACTGAACCGATTGATAACAAATCTATTTCTTCACATTTATGTCTTGATACAAAATCAAACATTCTGAAAATTAAAAACCTAAAATCTTCCTTTTTTGGTTCTGAAGATACAAATATGGAAAATCATCCAATCCTTCATTCAAGTTTACTGAATGATCAAAATGAAAGTGCTTTCAGTCAGTTCACAGAAAATACAGAATTGGAGCTAAGTGATGAACGAAGTGAATTTTTGATGAAACTCAGTAATGAAAAATACTCTCATTCAAATGGTCAAATCAAACAAAAATTAGAAGTTCGATCAGTTAAGTCAAGTGACACAGATGAAGTTCAAAGCCCTATATCCATAAATGATAATACAACAAAAGTATACAAGATTCGCGAGAATTTTTCAGTTGAAAAAAAATCATTTGAAGATACATCTAATACACAAACCTCTTTACAGAATGGAAACAATATTGTTCTTGAAAACACTAATTTGAAAATGGATATATCAGAAAATATAGAACCTGGATACGATATCCGTGTAAATAGTCATTCTATTAGTAATTTTCCGAATAAGTTGTATGAATGGAACTCTAGTAAATTTGACAGAATTATTTCTTCAACTTCTTCCGGAAATGAAATCTCCGTTAGGACTGTTCCAACAGATATATCGGATGACAATGTTTCATATGATGAGCCTAACGTAATGAATTCCTATAAAATCAATTCTGAAAATAAAATGATATTTGATGATAAGAGTATAAAAAAAAATGAAAGCAAGGAAAATCGATTGGAATTTCGAACTGAAGAAAAAACAAAAACAAATGCAAGTTCATGGAATGAGTCGGGTTCAAAACGACAAAATCTTATGAAAAAATCAGAAACTGAGACAACATTTTCGTGCGTTTCACCAATATCAAAAACACAGGCAAAATTTGATATTAACATAAATAATGGAAAAACAACCATAATGCCAAAGCCGAATTCAATAATAAAAGTTTCCAACAAAGTGCAATCAACTTTGTCACGAGATCAGAAAATTGGCAAAACAAATTCTTTACAAAAAGATGATATAAATATTTTGACACCAGATTACATACATGGATTCGGGGGAAGTTCAAGTAAATTCAATATAAGCACTTGTATGGATAACGAAATGAATGCCATGAACACTGGTCAATCAAAAGCTACTGAAAAATCAAAATCGAATCCAATTTTCAAAAGTAATTTCGATTCTAGAAAAAATAAAGATAAATCTTCTTCAACTCAAAAAGTTTCATCCAAATGTATTATAAGTTCAGATGAAGAAATGTACAGCACTTCAAACACAAATAAAGTAAATCATGATAAACGAGGACAATATACTCAAATAAAAAAAAATGCGACTGAGAATTTGAAAAAATCTAAATATAAACCTAATACATCAAAACTTAATAAAAGAATTGAAAAATCAATAAAGGCCCCTTTAAAAACTGCAAAAGTGCAAATGAAAAGAGTTGAACAAAGCAAAATGACATTAGACATGGACAAAATTGATACGAAAGACATGAAACATGAACAAATACAACCCACACAAAAGACAGAATCAAAAGAAGAAGCCAAGATACAAAAAAAGCACACATTTGACATCATTTATGCAAATACCGATGCGGATGAAATATTTCGTTGTAAATCAGCGTTACAATATAGCAACTTAGATTATACAATAGCTGTTGAATTAACACAGGATCAATCTAGTTCGGTTCCTTCCAGTCCAAATCGTTTGATCAAATCCAAAAAATCCGAACGCAATAAACAATTCACCAGTGAAGTTTTTATGCGAACGGTGAATTCTTCTTCGATAGAAATGATCTACAATCGCCGATCAAGCAATGGCGACAATAATCGGCGCTACCGTGAACTTGAGGCTGGATTCATTGATACAACCGATTCCAGTTTATCGGATTCAGTAGCATTGCCTTCTTCTTCTACTTCGGAAAATCAAAATCCAGAGAGTCAATTCGTCTCAATACAAGGAGTAAAATCTGTTCGTCATCACACTCGTCAATATACACAAAACCAACAAAAGGGATTAGTCGGTCATTTTGGTAGTTACAAAATTTCGGATATATCACCAACGGCATCACCCTCTGTGTCAGTCAATGACAGTATGATTATAGTCGAAAACCATTCATCACCAAATCTTGACCTCAGCGCAATATCAAAACTTCATCAAAAACTAAAAAATGATCACCAGATTGTTTCATTTACAGGTAAATTCTGTATAAGTTATCAAAATTGGAAAGAACAAATTATTTTAAAACACGTAATAATTCCAAAACGATATATCTTCCTATATTCAAAATGTACCGATTTTTTTACTAATATTTGAAATTATGGAAGTTTAAAATACAAAAACAGAATAACTTTGAGTAATAGAGATTCGCCGCAAGACCAGTGACATAGTGTATCTGGGTTGGTATGTAGATTACTTTGATACATAATCTACATTTTGTAAATTTAGATTACTACCATCTAATTTACATATTTTTTCCCATGTAATCTACAACATTTGTATTTTATTCAATTTTGGCAAACAAATATAATAAAATCACCAGAAATTGTTTCAAAATACCGAAAATTGTATAGAATTTTTATTGAAAATTTGTCTATTGGACATTTAACATAACAAACCTTTTCAATAGAAACACATTTCATTCATTCACCAACGTCAGACAATGTTTTGAGTGGCAATTTGTCTCTTATTTTGAATTTTTGAATAATCTACAATGTATTGTAGAAAACGTAGAGTATACACTATACATATTCTACGTAAATTACATTTCTTTTAAAATCGTGTAGTTTTTCCAACCCAGTAGTGTATCGTTCAATTCGAACATGATCAATCAGTGAATCCAGTTCACTATGATTTTGAAATCATTAATTCATTAACCTATGCAGAATGCAGATGCTCGGATAATAAGAAAAAAATCATGATTTTTCTCTGATTGTACTTGTCACAAGTGTTATTTATATGATATTGATACTTTTTAACAAACTGTATTAAAAAAAACGCTCAAGTAAAAAAACGAGATATATTTTTGCTTCGATGAAAAAGTTAATTTTGCCAGATTTTTGGCAAAATTATGCTCGATCACACAGATTAGTTTTAAACGTTATAAATCATAAAGAAATCGTTTTGGAATTAAATATCGATTGTATAGTAATAAACACATGGTGAAATAGTGAGTTTCATCTTTAAACACTTAAAAAAACTCTATATATGTAACATAAAGTACATAAATTCCTAATTCAGTTAATGAGAAATATTCCTTAAAGCCTGTGTGTTTGTTAATTTTCAATTCTTATCATAAGTATCTTGAGAGGCATTTATTTTCATTTGCATAATTTTACTGCTTCTTTTTGCAACTGATTTATTTTAATCTCTTCCTCATTTGTGATTGTTTGTCAGCAAAACTTACATAAAAATGTGATCTTCTCGGACATGAATATATATCCACATAAATCAGAAATGCAAAGTCATAAATTTACCTGTTACTTTGAAAAAATTGAGACGATATTTACAATAATTTTTTTGACATAGAGAAAACATCATTTGATCATCTTGATATTTCTGCAAATATGTTGTTTTATCTTGCTTATTCTATTTAAAAGGAATTGAGCGTAAATAGTGACAAAAAAGAAGCCTTATATACTGGCAAAGTACACTAACTTATGTGCAAATAGTTTGTTTAGAAAAAAGTGCAGTTTTACACTCATGGTTACCCGAAATATTTTGCTTGTAATTAGTTTGTACGAGGATTTTCACCTAACCGATTTTACTGTATTTGATAATGAATAAATTATTATTTTATTATTTTCGTCTAAGAAGAAACGATTCACTCTGTCTAATCAACCACTCGAACTTCAAATATGAATGAAATACCAAAGATCTCAATCACTCAAGATTTCACGGATGACGAAGATATCGATAGTGAATATGCAGGAAATATTGAAGATATACTCACCGATGTTGAAGAGTTGGATAGCGATGAAAAAAAAAACCAATTACCATCAAGTCAACTATTGAAAACACTTAAAAAAGTTAAACCGAAAAACAAAGATTATAGTGCAACTGATATTGAGGATTGCCAAGACTCCGGTTCAAATGATTCAGTAGATTTGATGCAAGATTTTGAGGAACATTTAAGTTTGAATGAATTTTTGGATCAAGGATTTATTGAAGAGACAGTCTGCGGTGATAACGATAAGATAAAACACAGCCGGAGAACCAAACATTCCCGTTTGAATGTACCAAAAGAAGACGATGGTGCTGTTACTGATTGTGAAGACTTGAATACATCCGATAATGAACTAATTATTGAAGAAATCCCAAATGATTTCAAATTTGATAATTTTTTGATAGAAAATGACGACTTCGGGTCGTTTCATGTTGAGAATTCCAAATATGTCCATAATAAAAATATATTCATGAATGGTATGTCAAATGTGGATGGTTCCGATAGCAATTTTCATAGGAGAAATTGGGAAGAAACGTCGGACGTTGAAAACATTGCATTTTCGGATCAAGAAGATCAAAACACATTCCCCGATCATATAAATCAATGTGCCAACGCATTTGATGCGGAAGAAATAATTTTAGAGGCTAGCGATAATGATGATGCATTCTTTAAAAGTGAAGCAATACCAGAAATATGTGTTGAATTCAAAAGCAATAGAACAAAAAAATTGCGTTTCAGTAGCAATAGACAAAAAAATAGAAATTCATTGTCTGTACAACCAATTCCGGATGAAGCTGTGACTGATGTGGAAAACATAGACTCATCCGATGATGAGGGCTTTAACCTGAAGAAGAATATGATAATCCCTATAGCATATGTGAACACTTCGAGTAAACCATATACTGATGTTGAAGATTTTGATGTTGACGATGATTGCATTGCAACCACTTCAAATGATATCAAACTACCATCGCCAGTTCGTGAAATAACAGTAATGAGAGAAGATCAACATGGTGATCCTGTTGCCAAAGTAATGCCTTTGGTGCTTAGTGCGAATAGATCCTTTTTAGGAATACGAGAAGATTATGTCGAAAAAGGTCAGTTCAAGAAATCAAAATTAACTATTCTTATCTTAAATGAATAAATCAAATATTAATTTAGCAATAAAACAAGAGCAAATAGCTTGAATTGAGTGTTTCATGAATTTATGATAATAATGTTTCTTTTGCCGTTTAATAATATCTATTGAGTTTCCATTTTTCGATGGAAATTGTTATCACAAATCCGATTGTAAACATTTTTGTGAGTCATTTTGGTCATGACTCCATTTTATTTTCCCATATTTCTTTGACGATCGACCTTTTGTGTGAAAATCATAAATTTTGGTTGATTAGATTTTCACTTTTTACTTTCATTCAAACTTTTCTAGAAATAGCGTCACATATTTTCACTAATTAATCACTAAATATTGGATTGTGCTTTTTTCCATAAATTTTAAATGAATATTTTTTATATTTCCAATGAACTTTATCAAACAAATAATTCTACGTAATTATAAATTAGAATTCTCGTAACTAAAAAACACCCATCACCAATTTTCAAAACGACCAAATGAAAAAAAATTCAGAGCTGTCAACGAATGTCCGTTTGTTCGTTTGTTACCCTTAATTAAATATTTAAATTTCAAACAAACATATTTTGAACATCTGAGCTCTCAAACGTGTTCCGTTATACGAACAAACATGGAAAACATTTCATTTTCTATGAACAAACATCCAAACAGTTCCCACAAACGAACACAAAATTCTATGAACGAATGATCCGTTCGTTCGTTTGTGTTCGTTGAAAGCACTGATTGTTGAATTATTATATTAATCATTTCGATTTTTATTCTTCTCCTTCGAATATAAAGGTTTAACTGACACAGAAGATATGAGTGGGAATGAAGAAGATTACGATGATGATGTTAATTATGAAATAGTTGAAATACCAAATATGGATGGTGGAATTGTAAGTTCTGCTGAAGGTTTAACGTCATTCAGTCGTAACCAAAAATCTGCTGAGCATGAACAATTGACAGATATTGAAGAGATTCGTGTGAGTAGTGAAAGATATTTGCGACGCAAACGATTGAAAAAATCATTGAAAACCAAAGGAGGTCTCCTAGATGTTAATGGAGATGAATGTGGGGATGTTACAGAGAATGAAGAGCTTTATTTAAGTGATATTGAAACTGATTTGAATCGCATCATTGTACATGAGCAAAGAAATCATGAAGATGCTTACACTGATACTGAAGAGTTTTCAGGCGATGAGAATACCATTAAGAAATGTAATAATGAAATTGATGTACATGTTCTACAACAAGAAGCTTTCTTTTCAACGATTACATCGACAGATGGTGGACAGGGTAAACCACTTTCACAACATGGCCATTCAAAAATTTCAACAACCATCAAAACTTGTGAGGAGAAGCAAGAATCCTCTGCTGATATGTCATACACAGACGTGGAAGAATTGGAACAAACCGAAGGAGACGATTTCCTGGATGTTGATTCACAATCACGTGGTACAACGCCAAATTTGTTACGTACTGCATTTAATGAGAGCGTATCATTTTCTGTACATGATCAAACTAAAAACGAATTTGACACATCTAACGAAGCCGATCACATCAAAGGCTTTGAAGATATTCGTGACAGTCTCACTGATATTGAATGTTTAGAGTAATACATCTTTATCTCAAATATACATTTAAAACATGTGTTTCTCTTTTTAATGTTTATTGTTTTTTTTTTAATAGTTGAAGCCAAATTCAACAGAAAAACAACAAAAACTATTATACCAATAATATCCATTTAAATTATACAATTAAAAATGTCGTATCGTATTCATATTTAAATAATATATTCCTAGCGGCTGCAAGCAGTCATATTACCTTAATAATGTATGAATATGTTACCTTGATATCTTGGGTTGTGATATTTATTTTTTTTAATTTTTGAAAACTATGAAAATAATTATTTATTTTAATTACTTTCAGGTGTAGAATCCCCACAAAAACTTGAAGATGACTTGAATGATGCGAGTAGCACAAATGGTAAGTAAACCATTTTCAGATAACTTTTAATTTATTAATATAATCATCATTTCATACAGCCATTGGTATTTAATACACACTGTATTAGTATCTAACTGATATCAAAATTCAAGAAATTTGATCTGAATGCTTCAATGTGGAATTCATTTCTTTTAATTCCAATTTTAAATCAGAAGAATCGTTCAGCTGAAAACATTTGCTCCATTTTATCAAGTTGAATAATCAAATCTTTTACGAATCCAATCATTCATTTCATTATGCAGTATAACCATGATAAATGCTGTGTGTGATTTAAAAAAAATTAAGATTTGTCATGTGTTTTTTGGTTTTTACACTTATTTGATGCTCATAAGTTGCAAAGTCTAGGGTTCTGTTGAGTCCATAGTATCCATATTACAACTATAACAATTATATTGTATCGCACTAAATAATGTGTCAGTTAATATTATATAGTAAATAAATCTAATATTTGAACGTCATGAAAATTTTTTTTATTTCACCACAGTGGACAAATTTCATTTTTCATTATTTTTATTTCAAAAGAAACATTCTATCACAAAAAACAAACAAACTAAAGAAATACCACTCCAAAATTCCTAAAACTTTCTTTGTATTAATTAAAATTGCTCAAAATTGAAGAAAAAAGATCGTATAAAATTGAAGATTCGTTATTTGTATAGTCTTTATCAAACTTTTCGATAATGTGCTAGTAAGATAAAGCTTAGATATTTTAGTTTCTATCATCGTTTCTTTAATTTAAGTTGTCTTCAAAATCATTACAATACTAACAAAAAAAGATTATTGTAAAGCAATCAAATATCAATATCCACAAATAATTTATTACGATTTTATTATACAAAACAGGAACAAACGACTATTTGAAATTAGTTCGTTCGGAAGCTATACAATTGGTTGATAATATACTTGACCGGAGTATTTTCTTTATTAATTCCCAACAACATTCATCAAATACTTTGAATTCAGAAAGTGAAAATTTTGCTATCAAATGCGATCCGCATGGTGCTGATCTAATTAAATCACCGACTATCGAATCAATGTCGGGAAAATCTTTTGACGATAATCTTAGCGGTCCGGATGAAAACAATCCGCTGAACGAAGGTCTGAGTTTCAATCAAACGTTATATGACCAATCAAATGATCATAACACAAGAAATTAATTACAACATCCAAACGATGCAATACTTAAATTATAAAATATAACCGTATACACTTTGAATAAATGGGAAGAAAATAACTGAGTAAAAGAATCGTTGGGATTGCATTTGATCTTAATTTTATATATGATGATTCGAAAAAAATGAATGTAGTTGGTTTTTATTCGCTTCTTTCGTTTTGTTCCAAGTGTTATTTTTGTAAGTAAATGTCTAGTCATGAAAAATCCATCTATTTAAAAAAAAACAACATGCGTCACGCTGTTAACAAAATTCATTTCTTCTATAGATGAGACGAGATTTTGCTAATTTCAATCAACAAAGAATAATCGATGATAAAGCTTCTATCCGAAATGCGCAGTTTTCACTATACATCATACTCTAAAAGGTGAATTAACAAATCCAATGCAACGATAGAGAATTTTTATGGATTCAGTTCAAAAGTATAAAATGTCTATATTCGACTTTTTTAACAATTAAAAAATTGTTCAAAATAAAATAATAAGCATATTGAAGTGAATTCATTAAATTCTTGTTAGTGACAAGTACCTTCTTTTATGTGATGATATTTTCATTAAAAACTTGCAAAATTTTACATTTTTGATATCAAAGTAAAATTAAAATAATAAGAAAATTCGTCCTGCAACGCTTACTTATATAATGAATGTGCCTATTTGCATTTTGTACAAATATGCTACATGTCATAAATCCTCACACTTTTCCAACACTCACACACAGCATGCTTCAATGGTTTGTTCCTCTTGCATACGAATGGTTTGGTATTGCTTTTTAAGAACAATATACTGTCATCTTTCTAATTTCGCTTATTTCAATTCTGTTTGCTTGTAGAATTGACAACAGAAAACTTTTTCAATGAATGTAATTTAGTTTTCAAATGTAACTAGATTACGGTAAGAAAAACACAAGTTCTTCGTAAGTCAACTAAAATTCTTCTGAAAATAAAAAAAGCTAAGCTGGAATGAATAGGAAATGTTTTGAATATTATAATATTTTTGTTGAAACCAAATGGTTATAAAACAACAAATCTTTTATTCTAATTTCTTATTTAAAAATTAGAAAATGTTGTTCCAATAAGTACATTGAGAGAATATAATTTTGAAATACCAAGTACCTACTCGGCACCGTAAATATTTCAAATTCTATATAATCAACTTATTATGGATGATAGTTAAATAATGGATCAAAACATGAACATTTATCGTGCACTAAATATAAGAATAAATAAATTAGAGAGAATGAGTGAATTCATTCTGTGTATTAAGTCATTTTCTCTTGAAAGTAATTACTTAAAAATCAAATGATTTGTTAAATAGGGACATATTCATTTAATATCAACTGTTTTTTCAAATGTAAATTTGTATAAAAATAGCTTGTGTAAATCAATATTTTCAAAGGTTTACTTTTAAGAACTACAATTTTCCACTAAATAATCAATTTTCAGTAATTTCAATTATATCAACTTGTAAAGGTACAATTTTACATGCAAATTACACACAATCCAAATATCCTGAAATACTTTTGAAAAGCTAGATTCCCACAAGATGATTTTTTTTGAAATGATGCGGGTGAATTCAGATGAAAATCATAAAATTTGGTATTTCCATTCACTTCAAATTTTTAGATTCAAGAAGTCTAAGAAGTCTAATTACTCCAAAACCAACACCTCGTTCGTTCAACCCTAATAACTATGATGCTATTGCTTCAGAAACAGTTGATGATGTGCATACTTCAGAAATTGACAAAGATGATAATAGGGCCTGTACCGCAATTGATCGAAGTTCAGGTGATTTTTCTGAAACAAAAAAATTTTGGCAATCACTTGAGTCCGGTTCAATAGATGATCCAAACATTTCACCAATACCAAAGCCACGTTCACAATCACATGTTCAAGTCAGAGGTGTTCGATACATTAATGATGATTTTGATACAGTTAACTTATTGACCAGCATTACCCCAAATGAACAAAATATTAGTCAAACATCATTGAGCAATAAGGACATTGATCGACACAATGTTCCAATTACTGATCATTTGAATAATGTAAGCCCAAAACTTTCGGATCACAACGATATTATATTACATTCAGCAGAAAAATATTCTGCATCTATATATAATGTTAAAGAACGCGAAAATATATTAGATGACGACGATGATGAAGATGTATTAAATGAAAAAAAAACAGCTGCTTTTTATATTGGTGAGTCAAGCGGAGATCTTATTACAAAATCAGCGATTGAAAAACAACCAATTATTGCATATGATATCGATGGTAAAGAGTTGAAAGATGTTGTAAAACTTGACCAGAAAACTGAAATCGAATGCAGTGATTATAAGTATGAAGTTCGATTTAATTTACAACCTGAAGAAATTGGTGTTGCCTCTTATGGAAAATTGGATAATATACAACAGATTAGAATGCATAAATCTTTGGAAGAAAAGTGTGAAACAGAAATACCCGAAAATGTTATTCTTGAATCGCCGAATTCAAATGACCAAGCCGAGTGTTCTAAAAGTTGTGATACAAGCCTTGAACAAGCTACAATTAATTTTCAATCGAAAATTGAATTAAAAGAGACAGCTGAACAATTTGAATACACAGCACCAACGTGCACAATTTCTAAATCTCAAGAAATCGAGAAAAACATCGATGAAGAGAGAATTGAAACATTTGAACCTGTGAAAATGGCTGAAACAATATTATTACAATCTGATCATAGCACTCGAAAAATATTGGATTCCACCGAAAAAGTTCAGTTTCACGATAAAGCAGTCAAAGTATGTCACGCTCCAATTGATACTTTGTCCAATGTTTCACAGAACATAGATGAGATAAAAATTGCGAGCAATGAAAGAAGAAAAAACGAAAAGTCACAATTCGAATTTGATAGTAATATGGAACATTATGACATTATTGAGCCAAAAACCACACTCGTTGTTAATATTCCTGTTGAAAATTTGAATCAAGAACAATACATAGAAGTAGAAGCTATTGAGAGTGAAAGCACACAAAAACCAAAATTCCAAGCAAATTTTGTTCATGAATTTTCTGATAAAATTACATCTGAAATAATAAAACCAGAAGATAATATAATTGATTACACATTAGATCCTGATGAAGACAAAATATATCCAGTCGCACATATGAATATGCTTTTGAGACAGGAATGCAGTAATAAAATGGAAACTCGAGTCGGGGAAGTCAGTCAAAAACAGTCAACAGATGAGTCTAGTTTGACTACCAGTAAATCGGAGGTCATTCACCGTACTGGTTCATCAAAGGGGGCCTCAAAAACACGATGGTCATTAAATGAACAAGATCATTCAAGTCCGAGCAGTCATAGCGTCGATAATAGTCGTCCGTGTTCATCGGACATTGAAAATTTGTATGTTTCATACCCAAATTCCTCAGGAGAATATCAAACGGCTTTGGATGCATCATCACTTATTCCTGGTTCAACTGAATATCATACAGCTGTCAGTTCTTTTGATCACAGTGGGAAAACTATAAGTTCAGAAGAAAGCATGAAAAGTTTTGATTCGGAAATCTCTAGTAACTTGGGAAGTATAGAAGTATCGGATGCATCAGAGACGTTGGTACCATCAACTGCTGACATTGACCTTGAATTTGATGAAAATGAACTTCGATTGTCGAGCTTACATACTGTCAGTGATATTATCTTGGATGCAGAAAATCCACTTGAACTTGATTCTGATGAATCTGCAGGTCAGATGAGACGTTCACATGAAATGATATTTGCACATGTTGAATCATCGAACACAACCGATATGCCCAATCGTAAAGTTAGTGAAGAAGAATTCAATGTGCAACAATTTTCAACAACCCTTGGCGATGCCAGTAATTTGTCGATAAGTTTTTCAACAGCATCGAACGCCGATACAATTATTGAAAATATTCAAGAAGATATGGCAACTTCGTATGATGCTGTATCACTTGTTGGAAGTTATGAAAGAAGAGCAAGTTTGATGAATGACATTTTCTCTTCTCAAGAAAAAGTACCTCATGCTGAAACAGATAATGATAGAATAACTGAAATTGATAATATGACACCACGTCGAAGCAAAGGTCACAAGCGTAATGACAGTACGTGCATTGATCTTGCAAAGCTATCACAAGAGAGTACAGACAGTTTGCTTGATGAAGAAATGATTATTCACGATGTTCGGGAGGAAGATGAACAGAAAGAAAGTGGATCAGACTCCGATTACGATCGCTATGAAACTGAATATTCCAGATCATTTAAGACACCAGAAAGTAAAAATTTTCAACGAAAAAAGAAAGCAATGTCACCAAAAAGTGCACAAAAACCAGAACAAGAGCAAACGGAACGTAAGAAATCAATTCCGAACATTGAAACAATTGTTGAAGTATCTGAAGATGATATTCAAAAACTACGTAATCATGGAATATCACAGAATATGAATATATATAACTATTCAATAATACCAAACATAAAAATAACAGATATAACAGATGATCCAACAAAATGTTTTGAAAAAATGGAACCTATAACAGTTCCAGAAAAAAAAACCGATAAATCAGGATCAGAATTAGATACTGTGAGCAAGGACACGAGAATTTCTGAAGCAGAATATGAAAAACTTATTGAGCGCCAATACAAAAATCAAGAAGATCTATATGAATCAAAAGTTGATTCAGATTTATGTGACTCATTTGAATTAGTAGAACAGCCAGATATTTCCGATGAGTTTGTAATTATCGAGGAAGTTGCAAGAGAAGCCAATGAGCTTATGACTGAAGGTCAAAGTGTTTCAATTCAACAGACACAATATGTGAAGAAACACGATGATGAAGTTGAAAGAATAATAATAAAATCAGCACCGGCTGCAACAAATGAAGGATCAACTTTATTGCAAGGACGCCATGATTTAGCATTTGAATTTGAAGAAAGTCCATCGAGTGGTGCCAATACTGAGTCAAGTGAAGACGGCGCTGGAATTGAATCTAGTCGCAAATGGATTGAAATGCAATTGGCAGAACAAGCTCAAAACTTACGATATCCTTATGATATCGATCGCGGTGCCCTTGAAGATATTAAAGAAGAAGATACAGATTTTGAAATTGGCAGTAGTCGAATTAGTAGTTTCAAGGATTCATATTCTAGCAACGATTTTGAAGTAGCCGGAACACGACGCTATCAAATAAAAGACCATGATAATATTTCGGTTAATAGTTTGCAGGAATTTGAAAGACTTGAACAAGCAATTTCATTGGAAAACAAAAAATTCCACTCAAGTTCAAATGATTCATTTAGTAATGGCAGTTTTCCAAAACGTGGTTTGCGAACAGCTCAAGCCGATGAAATCTCTTTATGCAGCCTACAAGATTTTGAAGGATTGGAAAATGCTTGCTTGGAAGCTACTTTATTGGAGCTTAAAGCCAAAGAAGAGCATGCCTTATTGTTCTCACGTTCCGATGAATCAAATAAATCCAATAAATTAGATCGTGGTTCAAAAGTAGGTACAATTGCATCAAAGTTAAAATTTGAACTAGAAGAGGATATTTCATATCAGATGGAAGTTTCCACTGACAGTTTGGAAGCAAAGCAAATAAGCAAAAAGTTAACATACAGCAAAAATGCATCTCAACATGGTAGCAGCGATAGTTTGGAAATAAGTAGAAGTGCCGATATAATGACAAGCAGCATCGATTCAATCGAGATTTCCAAAGATGGAATAACTTCCAAAACATCAAAATCCGAGTGTGATTCTATCGAACAAAGTGCACGTGTTGAAAAACGCGACAGTATCGAATCAATTGATGCTCAATATGCTGTAATGAATAAATCTTCACATGTACAAAGTGATTCTGTCGATGAGAATCTTCTTGATCTTTGCTCATCAAGCGCAATCGGTGGTACTACCGAAATCAAAATAACCACTTCAGTGGCATCATCTGGATACGGTGGTTGTATTAGCAAGGATATATCAAGTGATTCATTAAATCTAAACTTAGAACCAGAATTACTCGTAACGAGTACTGAGAGTCCCGATAACACATGCTCTACATTTGCAACGTATCAAATCCAGACCGATTCTCAGATGACAATGTCTGGAAGCCTGACAAGCTGTGATTCAAATACTCTTGTTGACTCTTGCGAAACCATCAATTACAATGATTCATCGAATGTAATGCCTGATAATACGATTGGGGCTTCAACTACTTTGACTACAACTAGTATAAATAGATCGATTAATCGTCAGTAATTTATTAACAATGAAACGTCAAGTTTTTTGAAGGTACTATTCTTTTTTCCCTTGCTCTCGAATATAAAACAAGTATACTCGAATTTGATTGCAACTGATTCAAATACTTTAATAATAAGATGATGTTGCCATTTATTTTATTTATGTAATATTATTTATAATATTTTTTGTTTTTTTTTAGATTTTTTTCATCTTTTAAAATTGGAAAAAATATGCTCAAAAATTTGACAGACAAAATTATTTCAAATTCGATTAATTAATTTTGAATCTTAAAAGAAACACCTCAGATAAAATGATTCTGTAAAAAATACCATGTTTTATTTTACAATTCGGTTATCATAATTGTTTTTTACTGACTTTTTTTTGTTCATGGCTTAGCTACACTTCACTTTCTTAGAACTAATAACTATGATAATTTGGCTTCAAACTTTCTTACCAATTTTTGAAGTATTAGGAACAATGCATTGAATCTATTGACCGAAGTTAGAAAAGCGTTGTTGTACATTTTTAATTTTGTATCCATAGAAAAAAAGAACAGATTTTATTCATAATCTCAAAAATAATATAACCAGAAATGTCAACCAACTCATTCATTTCTCTCCCGTTTTGTTTGGCATGAATATAATATCATCAAATAAAATTTTGAGTTATATAAGTTCGAATTCCTTACTCTCAAATTTTCTTGAGTTCGTTCAATTCAGTTTTTTAATTTTTTGTTTTTTTTTTGTTTTCAATTATGCTTCAATAATAAAAAATACAAATGAAAACACTAATGAAATTTTTCTTTAATTCTCTTTTTTCTGCTTATAGGCGAGTCTCAAAAGAAGAAAAATGAACGGTCCCGTAAATAATTTTGTAAGTAGCAAATAGTTATCGTAATTAACCCTCTAGTGATAAATTATCATCATCTGATAGCCTTCAGTCTGAAAACAGTTTATTTATCTGCCGTGTCGAAAGTGCGTAAAACTGAGTTCGGGAATTTTTTTCTCATGATTTAAAGTATTTCCTCTTTATCGAAAAAATAGAAATAATTAATTTTTGTTACATAATATATCATATGTCCATAAAGTCTACACAGTAAATTCAGGCGTTTATTGCGCTACATAAACAAAATCAAAAATGTCAAGCAATGCACATAGGACACTTAACGAGACTCCCACTCTTCTGTCAAACACAAAAATGTCCATTAGCATATGTCCATTCGTGATGGCGTACAAATTGGATTTACGAAAAAGTGTCTCAAATGGATTTTGGCAAGCTAAGTTCAAAACAAATTCTGCATGTGTTTAAAGATGAACCAAAGTCTTTTCAAACCATATATCGTGATTCACGGATTTAAAATGAATGTAGTGCTGTAACGTAATGTTAACCATCCGTTATCAACCAAATATTGTTGAAATCGATTGAGTTCGTTAAGATTTATCTGATTACAGACAAATCTTTGCAAGCAGAAAAAACCACAAAAAATAGAATTTTCATGAAAAAAAGACCATCTTTTCAACTTTACAAAAAGACACCAAATTAAATATTTCTCTTATGTTTTTGGATGAATTTCCAAAATACTTGATAAATACATGATGAATTTCCAAAATAAACGATCTCAGAACGTTCTGTCATACGCTCGCTATTTGTATTGTTTACAGTGACATCTAAATTGCGTCTCAACAAAAAAATGAATTTTACTCGTGAAAATTTTCGTGCGATAATTTACTACGACTTTGGATTGGGTGTATCTCAACAACAGTGTTTTGATCAACTTCATTTGGTCTTTGGCGATGAAGCCCCATGCAAGGCCACTGTATATCACTTGTTTACTGAATTCAATCGTGGTCGTCATTCGGTCAATTTTTGACAACCTTTGGAATTTTTTTGTTTCATATTCTGCTGGTTCCTAATGATCGTGTCCAAATCTATTGTTTTGGTTCAAATTTGTATGTGCTGTAACCATAAGAATCACCAAAACTGAATTTTTGCTTGACCAATCCGGTTTTCAGTACTTGATGACAATTTTGAAGGGTTTGAGAATTTAAATTGGGAATACGACCCACACATTTTAGACACATGCAGAATTTGTTTTGAACTTAGCTCGCCAAAACCATTTGAGACACTTTTTCATAAATCCAATTTGTATGCCATCGCGAATGAATATAATTGAATGGTTTGTGTTTGACAGTAGAGTATGAGTCCCGTTAAGTCTCCTGTATGCATTGCTTGACATTTTTGATTTTGTTTATGTAGCACAAGCCTGAATTTATTCTAAAGACTTTTTACACATATGTTAATGAATTTCCCAAAATAATTTTAATCACAATTTTCATTTCTTTTCAATCAAAATGTCTGTTTAGTGTATAATACTTTTTATCCAATACCTTTCAGGACTACATTTTTAAAATGAATTGCATCTATTTTAGACCAAGAGCCACTCCAACAAGTAACTTTTTTTTTGCTTTATGTCAGACAACTATTGGGCTTATGCATTAAAAAAGGGAATTAGAATATATGTCACCACTTGCGATTGCGTTGTAGTAGATCAATGACAGATACGTCATTTGAAAGGCCTATTCAAATATTGTCAAAATCAGTCAAGAGTATTTCATTTGTTTGTGCGCATCATATTTTTTTCAACGATGGAAAATTTTGAAAGTTGGAGAAAAAAACATAATTCGCGGGGGGCAAAAATGATAATGCCACAAAATGGATAAAAATGTTATTCGAGCACAGTGTTGTCACTGATAGTGTAGAATGGACCTTTCTCAATAGCTTAGAGCAAAAAAGAATAAAATCGATTCAAGCCAATCATAAAAAATCGGCTGGGGGGCAACTACCCCCCAATTTTGGGGACTTTTTCAATATTCGATCCAGTCGGAAGAATAATGTGCATCAAAAAATGCTGAAACTTATCTGAAAGTATTATCTGAAAGTAATTAGTCGATTTGAGTCCGTTTCGAAAGTAAAAGAAACGAAAAAAATTCCAAAATCAAAAAATGGCCATTTTTGAGGAGCAAATTTTTTCTGACTTTTTGCACACTTGGTCCAGAATAATATGAGCGCAGTTGGAGAGAAGCGTCTTTTACTCCCCGGTATGATCAATAGACATTGTACCCACTTAGTTCGATTAAATGTCGTGTGCCTGATTGGCAGCTCTTTATTTATGGAATAGCCCAAAAAAGGGTCAATGAATACATAACTTCAAAGGAAGAAAAATCATTTCGACCCGATTTTCGTCCTTTAACTATGGGCACTATTATTCGCGGATAGAAAACACATCAATTAATAAAGCGAGCTGCATGTTTGATTTTCTGGAATATATTTTGTTTTTGCTCAAAGATTCTTCGATTAAAATTTCTGCATGAAATTCCGCATTGTTTACAAAATCTGCATGAATGAAGTATGTAAAAAAAACTATCAACTTTTTTGTCAGCTTTATGTCTGAAATTTTAAACATCGATTTTACTTTTCCGTACACATAGTGTAAGGTGAAAAGTATTTGTAATCGGTCAAAATTTTGAAAACTTCAGAAACATGTTTTCTGGACGTTTCTGAGAACAGAGAACCCAAATCAGGCCGTTTTGAGCATGGTTTATGTTAATTTGTACGTCGTACGTTGTACGTTGAACGTCGTACGTTGAACGTCGTACGCAAAATTTGCTAGCAAGATTGCGCTCATCTTAGAATCTAATTGAAAATCTGACTTTACAGGATGATTGGGGCTCTCGAGGAATAGAAATCATTAGATTTTGAGCGACTTTGGTTGATGGAAAAAAATTTCATGCCTGGAGTGATACCTATGAAAAAGAGTCCAATTTTCGTCTGAAAGTCATACTTAATGTAGACCTAAACACTCAAAAATATTTTTTGGCACGAGAAAACCGAATCCGAGGTTAGTTTTGAGATACAATCAATTTTTGATACAATTTCCTTGAAAAAATCACAAAAAATTGAATTTTTGTATGGGAGCCATGTCTGTATGCTACTTTAATGACGTGAAACTTTGCACAGACTATTTTTCACACAAAAAAATAACATTCTGAAAGTTTAAAGAGATTTCAATTAAAATTAGGGGTACCTTCCGAACAAAATTTTGGATTTTTCGCTCAAACCACCGTGCGGAAAAGTTCGTCTCACTCCCGTAAGACTCTTTATTTTATCATAAAATAACACTAAATTATGAAAATCTGCACTTAAATACACATATTTATTGTTTTCAGCATAAACAAAATTACATGTTTGTATATATGGAAATGTTAATCGGGAGACGGATAATCGAAGTTCAACTGTATATAGATAGATATTCCTATACTATATATAAACAAAATTAAAAAAGCTCAACATTTTCCCAAGTTTCAAGACGTTCAATCGCTTACTTATATTTAAGCCTGTCAGACTTTTTTTAATGTCAATCCGGTTCGAATTATACGGGCGATTTCCCCCTCAAAACCGGGTGAAATCTGGACAATGGAACCAAATTTGCGTACAGAAAATCCGGACGGAAAAGTTTCAATTTTTTTATATGAGTAATTTTTTTTAGGTTGATGAATATATTGTGCATCGATTCAAATCTGTTAATTAGCATACAAAAGGAATTTATGGCTATGTTTATTAAAAAAATATAATATAAATAACCTGGATTTATCCGAGCGATCTGGCAGGCTTACACTTATACAAAATATGACCTTTTTAAGTCAAAATCAGTTTATGATTTTTGTAGAAATTTGGAATTCAATTGTAAACTAAATTTGTGTATGGACACTCGCCCAAATGTCGGACTATTTGTTTGAATTTTCAACTTCAATTTAATATTTAACATTTTTGGTTTCATGAAAAAATATCACTTTATACACAATTCGATACAGAATTTAATTGTGCTTCATTTCACGTTTCTCAAAAGATAGTAATTTCCAAAAATGTATTATTTTTTTCCATTCTTTCGTCATAACATCGAAAATTCCAAATGTCGGATATTCGTCGTCCAATTCTCGGCTCCCTAATCTCGACATATTTCATGCATTTTCACTACGAAACTTGTAAACTTTAAGTTTTGACAGCCCATGAACGCACTATTTACATTCAGGTAAACAATACAAAATATTGGAGTTAAAATTATTAGATTGATATATTTTTGCTCCATATTTTATTTTACTTATTTTTCTATAGTAAAGTGGCAAAAATATTTAAAAATATTACGTTAGTTCACTGATCTAGAATATTTTTGGTTTGAATTTCACAATGATCCAAATACGACTTTAACTGTCACATCTGTCAAATCCAAAGTGTTTCACTTGAAACTTCGGTGCTTTATGTGTCGGCAATTGGACGATTTATTCCGGAATAATATTACAGTGAAAAATGAAAAATAAATATAATTGTTTTTCTTTATATTTTCAAAATTTCTGTTCAATAATTAAATTAAACTATCTACAATTCGCCGATATAATTTTTTTTCCAAACTAGTTATTTTTTCATATAAAAAAACGCATTTTACCGGCTTGTCTCAAAATGACATAGTTTAACTTTTGACGTGAAAAAGTGATAAAAATGCCGAATTTTTTTTGAACGTAATTTGTGAAAGCAATAATAGATTTTTGATTAAAATTTGGATTATAATAAAGAGATTTGATATTGATCTTTCATAATTTACTTTTAAAAATGCAATTCAAATGAATTTTCAATTTTTAATTTCAATTCACCTCTCGGTATTCCGACATTTGGTCGTGTGTCGACATTTGGCAATCTACTGTATACTGTATGTATTACATATGATCAATTAAGATGAATTTAAAACGGAATCAATAGAATAATTTATTTCGTACACCTTTTGAGTTAATAAAGATAGTTCATTTTATACATCTTTTATTATAGTACAACTTATTATTTTATAAATTATATTGCGCCTTAGATCTGAAATCGGCTACAATAGAATTCAATCTGTATAGTTTAACTTTTTACTCTAGATTTTTATTGGATGTATAGTTCAGAAATCGCGCACGAAGTATTTTTTAAATCATAAGAATCGATATTTGACATTTGATTGATGTGAATACTGAATAAAAAATGTTCGAACTAATCCCGAAAAAGAAGCATTTCTGGGAATTCTATTTATTAAACTTCAATATATTAGGTAGTATGAAAGTCTATATAAATGCCCTAGATATTTGTGAAATGTGCCTAAATATTACGAGGGCTGCTCCATATATTACTAGAATTGGCAATATTTAGTGTTGTCCGATACAAACCATTGTCATATTCGTTAAGTTTAACATTTGGTAGCATAAACGATCTCAGAACGTTCTGTCATACGCTCGCTA